AAAGTTACAATATTTAAGCTTGCTTGGTTGCCAAGTTGAAATACTCAGTCAGACCAACACAAAAAACAGAGACAGGCCGTCACAATACTTTTTGCTTGCTGTTGCAACTCAGCGTAGCAAAAATACACAAGAAAATGAAAATTCTAACAGCAGGAAAGCCTCATACAGTCGAACAGCTGTTAGCACAACTTTAGCTGCAAATCGAAGGATTTCAACAGTATTCTTCACAGTTAACTAGTTTTTTGGCGGATGTCCAGAGAAATGGAGCCCCTTCCGCTGTACAGACTTTAAGCCAATAAAGGCTATTTCGAGAGCAGATTTAAAGAAATCTTTTAATAAGAGCAGATTTGAAGAATTCTTTTAATAAGCTGATGAGGCGTCCCCGTGCAACCAGAGGTGACATTTCTCGAAATGACTAACCTTGATACAAGCTAGCTATACAAATATTACAATCAATGAGAGACCACTGATTAAAAAGCTGAACTGCACCGTCGCATGAAGAAAGGTTTCCGCGACTAAATTTAACCTGGATAACTTTACCTGGAAGAATCACAAATGCGCTCGAGAGCAGATATGAGGAAAGAGAAAAAAGGGATGAGGAGTAATCTGAGTAACACCGAAGGAAGTAATTTAATACAAATATCTTATAAGCTCACATTCCCTTCCTCTTTTCAAAGCCAGCTAGTCATGAAACGATTAAATGGAGACTCCATCCGAAGTGTTACAAAAAGGGTACATTGAACATCGGAAAGAAAAGCCCTCATAATTTATAGATTTGCAAGCAGAAGCTACCGCTAGAGCAATGCAGTAGAGAAAGTGCTACAGGCACAAGGATCTTCACAGCTCGCAGAATCGAGCCAGAAGTGCGAAGGCCACACTGGCACGAAAGGCAAATTTTCGCCTTTTTTAGTTTGGCATAATTCGAAAAGCGGCATGTCGGTTAGAAGCGCTCGAATTTTTGAATTTTTGACAATTTTGAATCTTATTTCTTCAAACATAGGATTTTTTTTAGCGACGCAGCATTAAATTTTTTCATAATTTCGCAGTAATATTAAATTACAGCATGCAACTTTGGCAAAATTTGGTACCCTCTTAACGGCGATATATCACTTCTCTGCAGCCAATCTTCGCGTTTCTTCCATTTTTTTTTTCTTCCCGCATGGACGATTAAAGCATTAAAAATTTCGCACTTATGCTGGCAACAGTTTTCCAACCAGATAATTCCATCTTTTTTCGAAGTTCGTTTCCGTAAAACGATCAACCGAACGACGTGCCACGTCACGCATCGCATCACGTTCTTCGACACTCATTCGTAAGACTTCCAATACTCTGTCAACAAAATCTAGAAAAATGGTTCAGTAATAGTGCAAAAAAGTTTACAAATAGAGTAGTGCACAATTTCCTGCAAAATCGAATTTAGTAAAGAATATATTTCCGCAAACGCTCGTAACTTCTGTTTTGAAATCTGTAAAGGTCGGTCATTCCCCCCATAGAAATTCTGGAATGGTCTAGTGGTGAGTCGGCGCGAAGATCAATACGTTCTTATAAAAGGGGTGATCCCTTGATCCCAGGGGCTCACTCACACTCACTCTCAGGAACGCGCTTTTTCTCATACACACATGCGTTCACACACACGTTGTTGGCTTCTGGTTCTGTTTTTTTCTGGTTCTTCTAAGGCAGCAGAGTTGGCCGTACCACGTCCATTCATTCAGTAGCATCGCTATTTCTTCTGTTGTGCTGTGTTTACAAATAAACTTTTGATTTGAGATTGCGTTGTGTTTGCATTCATTCTTTGCAGGTACAGTCGGGTACCTTCTTGGCGGGTCGTGCGATAGGCTCCCGTGGGAACTTGTGAGGTTGCGATAGATGAATTAGAGGAGTTGTTCGGGAGAGGTCGTCTATAGAGAGTTCGTGTCTCGTCCGACTTCCTGGACCCCTCATACGCCAGAGCAAACCACTTCACCTTTCTTACAAACCAACTGTTTTTTTTTGACAGAAATTAGAAACTGGAAGTAATACAGACACCAGTTCCACGCGAAATTCCAGTCTACAATTATCGCATTGTATGTTACATCGCGCCACTCGCCATCCCCTCTCTGCTTCCCTTTTTATAAAAAACTCATAGATATCCACACCGTATAATAAAAAATTAAAGTGAAGAAAGATATCCTCATCGTTGCTTGCCCAACGCTCTTTTCAGAAATACTGCCGATTATTTCATAAAAATAATAAGCCGAGGAATACTTTTTCGAACATGTAACAGCATAATATTTAAGTGACGGACGAGGAAGCTAACCATGTACACTTGACGCCAACAGGCCGAGAGGGATTTTACTTCCAACAGCACTCGCATTCAGTATATCCAGTTTTGGTCCGCCTAAAAATTGATTTCTATTGTCTTTTTCTAGCAAAAAGTGATATTAAACGAATTCTAGGAAGGCTGTTAGTTGAAACAGAATCCACTATTATACTCAGATGAAGACATTGAGGATGCGGTGAACTCTAACCCCAGCTAAAAGAAATATTTGATGAAGCCCATCAATTCTGACGATTTCAGTGCTTGAAATGTTTCATTTTTTTTGCATGAAAATATAGACATTTCCGTGAAAATGTTGCAAAACATAAATGAAGCATCAAACAACTTGAATGACCTGAATTGTGAGCAATCATTATTTGTCCAGCAGCAATACCTTCAAC